ACACACACACACACACACACACACACACACACACACACACACACACACACACACACACATACACAGAGTGACGATGACCTTACCCTAGGGGCTAAACCAACTGACTTACTAGCAATTTCACACACACACATACACGAGTTATTGACTCGATGACAGGCCAACAGTGCACGCATCGTATGAAGACAAGGTCATCAATGTCAGTCACAAATACACGAAATTGAAACATCAAGGCCCAAGTTCCATGCTACAACCATCGATGACAGAACACATCCCTCAGCTCAGTAGTGAACATCCCTTTAGTCCTCCTCATGCCCATTACCATCTGAGCTATCATCATGTCCACTCTGGTCCTCTCCCCGGGCACGAGTCTCACTACCCCTGTCATCCACGTAGTCACTACCAGAAAGGCCATCACTTGAGGCGGCATCTGAATCGTCGTCAATGATACGAGTGGATTTCTTACTCCAAACTCCACTCGAGGCCTGAGACCTCGTGCGAACACCCACCGTCACATTAGTGCACGCAGTGGTGCCCTGCCCAACATCGTCCTCACCCGCGTCGTATGCCCCCAATGCACTCATCGCCCATGAATCACGACCCCTGCCTCGACCCCTGCCTGATCCTGAGCCTCGCGGGCGACCACGAGGTCTGCCTGTGCCACCCTGCGATCGTGGAGGAGGTGGTAATGCGCCTCCGTCATCCTCCCTCCTCCTCTTCCTGCCTGCACGACTTGTCTTCACATTATCAACAATGGCTGATGGAAGTCGTGCAGGGAGCGGTGGCATGCCTAATGGACTACGCACAGGAGGGGCAGCCGCCGCTGACGAAGTGGATGCTCGACTCGCGTGCGCAGCCGGGCGTCGTAAAGTCACCGATGGGGGGTGGTGTAGGGAACTGTCAAGGGACACTGCGGGAGATGAAGTTCCACCACCATGACGTCCAACTGTCGTCGATCTGCCGAGAAGATGAACACTTGCTGCATCGGGTGATGGTGTGGCGCGTGTGGACATGGGCGGAATCCCATAGAATGAGGCAGTCGGCATTCTAACATCACTCAAACTCCCGCCCCCCCCCTGTGTAGCAACCTGAGCACCCTCACTCTGGATCATACTCTCGCGTGTAGATGCTACACCCCTCGTCTCGCTGCCCCTGTCCTCCACCCGTCGAACTACGCTCTCGTCCATGGTAACGTCCACCTGAACCTCCAAGCTGTGTCCATCCCTTCGCTCTCTCCGGTGTTTAATCCTCTGGTCAGCCCTCTGCTCCGCCCTGTCCTGCACCATCTCATCTACCGTCTGCTCCACCCTCTGCTCCGCACCAAGCTCTGCGACAGACACTGGTAATGGGTCCGCCCTGTCATCCACCCTCTGGCTGACGTGCGCTGAGGAAGCACAACCAATCCTCTGCTCCGAGGTCTGAACGACTGTAAGACGAATGACGTCACTGACCCTACGCTCTCCACCTCCGCCTGCCACCAGTCCATCACCATCCCCGCCACGTAGCACGACCCTCTGGACAACCGACTGAGTGATGCTCTGTGAACCGCCGCCTCGATGTACAACCTGCTCAGTGACCTGGCGCACGTGGTGTGTGTCCTCCAGCCTCTCATCCGCATGATGACCCTCCCTCCCAATCATCTCCTCCTCTGGCCCTCGCAGAATCCTCTCAGCAGCGTGATGGGGCGCTGCAGGAGCCGACGTACGTGCATCAACTGGAACACCCCCAGTATGTCCTCCCTCTCCGGCAATCGACGAATGTGGAATGTGCTGACCTCGTTCCTCCTCCTGCCCTACCTCTGTGCCGCTTGCCTCGCCATCCCCGGTCAAAAGCTCCTCCAAATCTAGCCGACCCCCAACCCTCCCCCGAAGACTCCTCACGGTATCCACACTCTGCCCGATGTAGGCGTCGAAATCGGTGTGAGGGTCCGCTCCACCCCACTCGTCCAATAAGTCATGCTGGTCCTCAGGCAACGTACGGCCTGCGGCTCTCCGCTCCTACTGCGCCTCCATCATCTCTCTGTGCATCCACACCGCATCCTGCCAAAGGGCCTCATCACCCTCCTCATCCTCATCCTCATCCTCCATCGGTGCCTTCCCCTTCCCAAATCGATTACGGCCCTCCTTCCTTCTGTTCCTCTTGTCGATCTCCTCCCACTCCTCCTCTGGCACCTCTGCGGGGATACTATCGTCACCATCGATCTCCTCCGCGGGGTCCTCCACGTGGTCCTCCCACACATCAATGTACCGCCTGTCCGTCCTCCTGCTGGCACTGAGGAGCTGCAAGTTCCCGTGAATGAAAACCAGCTTCTCGACACTCTCTGCAGAAAGGCGGTTCCTCCTTTTCGTGTGGATGAAATCGTGGGTGGACCAGTTCCTCTCGCAAGGACTGGCCGTGGACCACATACCCAAAACCCTCTTCACAATCGTCTGCAGTCTTGGCTCCTGACCACCGTGAAGCTCCCACCACATCGCTGCATGCATCCCCCCCTCCGCCGCGTCCTTCACCGCAAACTCGTCCCACCAGTGCGCTCCATTCTTCGGCCAATAGCGAGGGTCCTCGCAATGGAAAGTCCACAATGCCTGCCAAAGCTTATGCAAAGAATCAGACTCCCAACCTGCACCCTGACAGCGAGCCAAGTGGTCTAGCGCGCTCTGCACGACTGGGCTGCTGCGGTCCGTCAGCAACGAGATATCACGACGGCGAGGATCCAACAGATACGCAGCCGCATGGGCAGGCTGACGCATCATCCTGCATCTGTCGGATATGATATCCATGATCGCCCTCCTCTCATCCTCTGTCAGTCCAAGGCCCCTGACCCTCCCTCGCAATATGCTCTCCAAATCCCACAATCCTGTGGGTGATGACCCATCCCTGTCCATACCCCTGAGGAACCTGTAGCACGGGGCCATAGCCTCTCTAGCATCATGAACGCTGTCCCAAATCGCGTCTCCACTGGTCGCTTCAGTACTAGCGCGTTCCTCATGGCCTTGTGAAGTGCTAGGGCTCGCTGTTTGTTGCGCATGAACTTGACTAACTTGTGCGCCTTCTTCATGACAGTGGCCGCCCAAGGCTGCGACGCAATGTCCCTCAGCAGCAAGCTCAAGCAATGTGCTGCACATGGGATCCAAGGTATGCGACGCATAGCCGGGTCGGGGTGTGACTGCAAGATGCCGGCTGCTGTCTTCATCACTTCTGCGTTGTCGGTGCAGATGGCATTCTCTTTGTCAATGCCAATGTCTCCCTCCCATATGTCTGCCAGGCCGACTCCCGTCTTCTCCCGATGTGACATGTCGAGTCCGGACTGTCCTGCTGCTATGAAGTTCATGATGGGCTTGTTGGTCGTGTCAGTAGCCCCGTCTGTGAGCAGCGTGCATCCTGTGGTAGCCCACTTTGCCTTTTTAGGTGCAATGAGGGCTGCTACCTCGTGGAAAATGATGTCCATCATCCTTGTACGGACTCCCTCGTATGTCAGCAGCCGTGGCACCGGCACGATCGAAGGACGCATGAGTGTGACTATGTAGTTCCAATAGTCTTGCGTCTCCTTCAACCGCAACCAGTTGAAGGGCACTCCACCTCGATAGATAGCAAGGGCCAACATACGATCAAGATCCCGTTGGACCTTGCTCCCTAGATGAATATCTAGGGTCGTCCGTCTCCTCCTCGGCACCACTTGTGTGGAGGTGGTGGCCGTCGTGCCAGTAACCCGATCTCCCCCTCCATCCCCTCCACCATCTCCTACACCTTCAACGCCCCGCAACTCATCTGTCACAGTCCCGACATCCGGCCCTTGCTGTGTACCACCCTCACCACGATCACCGTCTCCAACTCCTCCTGCACAATCCCGCACCTGGTCACATGGCTCTTCCAACTCCCGCAGGTCCTCGGCGGCAAACTCTCCATCCATCCTGTCTACGTGCTCAGCAGCCAGTCTTAGTGACAATGCATCCCTCAACAAAGCACCAGCCGCTTGCAGTCTATACAAAATCTCCCCATTCCGTCGGGGGCAGTGTGCCCTCGGTTTTGCGAAGTGCTCCACTGCTCTGGACCTCGAACCCGTGAACACCTCCCCACACCGTCGGCAGCGCAGGAGGAAGTTGCCTCCGCCCGTCAACCCCCACTCCTGCCCCCTTTCTGCCCACTCCCACACCACATGTGTTCGCCTCAGTTCTGCTTGCTTGTGGGCAGGCACTGGCACGAATGGAGGGAGTTGCCCCCCTCGTGGCCATCTACTGCCTGTCGCCATGACTACGACGGAGAGGAACAGGATACCGACTGGCCGCCAATGAACGTTGGCCAAGGAATGACTGATTGCTAATTATCCAATTCCTTGAATTGGTGTCGAATCCTGTGAGACCACTGCGTCAGCCTGACATGCAGCAAAGGTTCAAGCTGCATGGACAAACCAAGACAGCCATGGAGTTAGATACAGACGCATTTGTTCATTGAGTGCTTAATCGAGTGATAGTCTCTATTGATTGATTGATTGATTGATTGATTGATTGATTGATTGATTGATTGATTCGTTGATAGATCTCCGCCATCACCCTCACGAAGTCCGCAATCGACAGATGTAACTGAACGAATTCAGTCAATCACCATAGCAATCAATCAATCAATCAATCAATCAATCAATCTGTCAACCTACCAATCAATCAATCAATCAATCAATCACCCTATCAATCAATCAATCAATCAATCAATCAATCAATCAATCAATCAATCAATCAATCAATCAACCAATCAATCAACCAATCAAACATTCAATCGGGACACCCCCTCCTCCTCCTCCTCCTCCTCCTCCGTCTCGCCGCGAAGTTGACTCCCCTCGTTTCAGACGTCGGAACCCCCGCTCCTTTTTTTTTTTTTTTTTTTACCCACATCCGTCGCCACCAATCCACCTATCCGAATCGACCAATCAATCAATCAATCAATCAATCAATCAATCAATCAATCAAGTCCCATCGATTCTGTTGATTCGACAGGATTTTGATCTGTCAAGATCCTGTCGAATCAACAAATTTGACGGGACTTGATTGATTGATTGATTGATTGGTTGGTCGGGATGGATGTATGCACACACATGTATGTAGGAGGGAAAAAAAAAAAAGACTGACCAATCAATCCCATCCGACCGACCAATGATAAAAGACCAACCAATCAATCCCTATCTTTTTTTTTTTCCACCTATATCCGTCGCCAGCAATCCATCCATCCCGACCCACCGACCAATCAATCAATCACTCAATCAATCAATCAAGTCCCGTTGAATCTGTTGATTCGACAGGATTTTGAACTGTTAAGATCCTGTCGAATCAACAGATTCGACAGGACTTGATTGATTGATTGATTGATTGATTGATTGATTGATTGATTGATTGATTGATTGATTG